GAATCCACATAGATACAGAGACACAGGCTTTAACCTGTTGAACCCTTGGCTTATTATCTATTTATTAATCTTGATACTATTATTCAGTAAGTACTGAATAATTGTTCAGTCACTGCTCTTAAACTAACATGTAAGTGACTGTAAAATATCAGAGGCCACCCTCCATTTATTTAAAGTAAAAAAAGCCAATAAGTACAACTCATTAGAAGATATTTCTGAGGAGATTAACATCAAAGGGGCGTAAGTGGAGTTTCCACTATAAAGAAAATGGGACTCTCAGATAAACATTTCAAGCTCCACTCTTGCTTCAGATCTGACTAAATCCACAGGTGTTTCTGTCCATCCCTCCACTGTGAGAAGGCAACTCAACACTATGAGTCTGAAAGGATGTGTAGCTGTTAAGAAGCCCTTACTGAGAAAAGAAAACAAAAATAGAAGAACATTTCAACTCAAATCAAACAAGGAACCTGCTTGTGTTCTCAGAACAAGGGACTGACCACCCCAGAGTCCAGGCCTCAACATCACTGAATGTGTTTGGGATTATTTGGATCATGAGAATCAGAAAATACAACCAAATTCTAACACTGAACTTTACCAGTGTGGAAAAACACCCCTGCAAATGTCCTTGAAAAACTGAAAGTGAGTCTCCTGAAAAGAATAGAAGCTGTAATAAGGGTTGTGTGTGGACAACATATTGATTTTTTAAAAGGTTTCTTTGTAATTGTTTGTTAAGTATGTTTTCTGCTTTTTCCTGATACTGAAATATGTATAACTTGTACATAATAGCCATTTTGAGTGGAAATGAAATTGTCTAATAGACTTTTCCACAGTACAGTATGTTTATATGAGGGTGAGGAACTGAAGTGTGGAACCACATACAGACACTCTTGGCTTTGTCATATGATTTTGTATGAAACCTTTAATTGATAGAAACCTCTACATCATGTTTCCAAATTTCCAAAAATTGTCTTTTGAAGAACTATGCATTGAAAGATTCTTTAGCGATCTGTAGGGATCTGTAGGGAACTAGACGTGGTTCTTCTTGTCCCCAAAGAACCCTTTTCTTGCACCTTTATTTTTAAAGGTGCATTGATTGGTTTACAGTGAAGGTGATGGGAACCAGGGGTCACAATGTCTACAATGCAAATAAAGTCATTTTATTTACTATCCAAAATCAGTGAACCTATACATGTCTTCTGAGTTTTAATAAATAATGTTGATGTTGGTAAAATAGTGGTAAATATGAAATGCCCTATATGTATGTACCACTCTAGTATTATTGTATTTAAAAAAGATTTCAATCCTCGTGAAAAAACTACTGTAAAACAACGTCTCAGGCATTAGGCAATGTATACCGAATGAATGACTTAATTAATGACTTCCTAGTATTTAGGTGGTAAATGACTAGATTGACTACGAGTTTGCGTATTAGGCTGGCTAGGCACCATTTAATTTGAACACAATCGTGTTTCAATCTGAGTGACTGATGAGTAAGCCAGCTTGACTGACAGCTGAATTTGCTGACAGGATTCTTTCAGGCCGAAGAGCTGTTGACTTTAACAGGGAGGATGTTGGATGTTGGGTGATGGGCATGTATGCTCAGGAGACTCGCATTTTATTGAGAATCGTAAAAAAAAAAGGTATGCAGTGATTTTTAAAGCCTCCATTCATTTGACTTCTTCTCTGTCCAACATACAAGCCAGAGGAATGTGCACTATTCCATGACTGAGGCTTGGTTTAGCATCATGGTGAATACAGGAAACACTCATTCCTCATCCATCACTCAGCTGGAGTGAAAATAGCAAATTACTGGCATCACACAGCAAAAGGAGCCCTTTAGCAAACCCATTAAAGATTTCATATGTAGTAAACACTGCATTGTGGTTCTGCTAGTGCTAACATTTCAACAACTTTAAAAATACTCAAAGTAAATGTTAGCTGTTCCAGAGTCAAAACAACAGACATAAACCCCCCATTGAACCAGTCCAAATGATCTCAGAGGGAAAGACTTTACCTCAGACATGCTTCTGAGATAAAGATCGAAAGTCTGATCCAAAACATTGTTACCAAAAACTCCCACAATATAGAAAACTAGGAGTGAAAAATCTACTTAATTAAAATAAAAATCTCAATGTTTACTGAAACATGAACAAAAACAAAATTACAGAAAATAACTTTAATTTTGAGTGCCTGAGATTTGGTCTTGAATTGGATCCTTTCTATGTCAAAACCTGACACAGGACATGATGGCCTTTACATGAGCTAAAGCTTTCAGCTTAACTGAACACAGTGTGCTGTTTTAGCATAAGCGAAACTACAGTTGAGTTTGGGATTATTTTGGGTGCGAACTGTTCCTGACAACCACAGATGCAGTTGTTGGCAGTAATGTTGAAGTTTGTGGAGCAGTGTTGAAAGGATGGCGCAACTGAACTCATGAAAATGAACTCAAAACAAGAGTAAACTCTATGGATCTCTGAGGGTGACATCCCGTATAAATGAATATAATGCAGGTCACGACTTAGTAAGGCGTGGGAACAAAAAAACTGAGCCTTGACCACAGTTTAACAAGGCATGATCTTGTTCCCACACCTTACAAAATTGTGGCCATGACTTAATTATCTTGGTGCCATGCCTTACTAAGCTGTGGCCATGACTTATCTATCTCGTTCCCACTCCTTACTAAGTTATGGCCATGACTTAATTATCTTGTTCTCACACCTTACTAAGTTGTGGCCACGACTTAACTATCTCGTACCCACTCCTTTTTAAGTTGTGGCTATTACTCAATTATCTTGTTCCCACACCTTACTAAGTCATGACCACAACTTAATTATCTCATTCCCACACTTTACTACATTGTGGCCACGCATTATGATCTCGTTCCCATGTGTGGATATGCATTATTTTTATTTAAATTGGATATCACCAGCATGGCTCGGTATAAATCAGTGAAGTAGATTTCCTTTCATCTTTGGGGGGACGCACTGCTCATCCCACCTGACCCATCAAACTTACACTTACAGAGAAAAAGCGCAATGACAGGGCAGGAACAGCACTATACCTCACCAAATCAAGTGCCCTTAGAATGAGACTCAGCTGGACATTTTAAAGCCTGGTCTGAAGTACTGGGCACTGAATAATGGTGTTCAAATACCAGAGCCCTGGCAACCCTAGCTAGACATACGCAGGTGTCGCACTGACACAGAAGAACACATTTAGAGGTAGAAGGCTTTTTTCTAGGTTTAATGAAGTAAATAACCTGCCAGGCCTGCTAAACTAGCTAGCTAGCTATCGCTACAGGCTATCAGACTACAGCATTGCTCTTTTGAATTCAGAGAAGAGCTACGGCCTGCAGTAGATAACAAGCTAGCAGTGTCACACATTATCATCTGCTTAGTTCATTTCACTTTATACATCTTTGATTATACATCTTTTATTTTAGTGATTTTTGGTCACGTTGTACATGAAAAACATGTCACAGCAGTGACAGCAGCAGTATGAGCAGTACGTTTGCTATTCAGTGTTGACCAGTGGAGGATGGGTTCCCCTTTTGAGTCTTGGTTCCATTCAAGATTTCTTCCTCTTGCTCTTATAGAGCTTTTCCTTGCCACTTTTGCCATTGGGGATGCTCATGGGGGGCTCGGACCCAGATTTTTTTTCTGTAAAGCTGCTTTGTGACCTGTTGCAAAAAGCGCTCTATAAATAAACTTTGACTTTTGAAGTATTATTTTTACTTGAAACATTAAAAATTTTATGAAATTGCATTATAGATCTTGTCTGTCATGTGTTAAAATTATTTTAAACACATAGGGATTTAGGTACATAGGTAATTTTATTAGTAATTTTTCCCAAGACTTTTTCATAAGTATTGCTAAAGAAACATTAAATGTCATTTGGAAAGATTAAGTGGGAGAAGTCCACAGTTGAGTGAAATCTCTTTATATTTTTGATAAATTTGGCTAAAATAGTAACAGCTACATGGGTTACAAAAGATTGTGTCAGTGGTGTTACACAAGAAATGTGGAGCTATTTTAAATTGAAATGAAATGACAACACAAATGAAATATTTGTAGTTTCCCACATACAATGTGATTTTGAAACTGAAGTGAAAGTGCATAATATTTTAAAGCTGAGATTTTAGTAATTTTATCTGTATTGTTACAGTCAGTGGTGTCATAACTTTTCTGATGTTGTTTGAACAGTACTGATGTGCACCTGAAAAGCTCACACAAGAAGCCAACAAGAGCTGAGAGAAGCTCAGGGAGAAACACATTGTGGCTAAATAGAAACAAAACTAGAACCATTAAAGGGCCTGTATCATGCACAACCAAAAGGTTCATCACAGATAGTACATAAACATTTTTCAATATATTCACCAGTCCATACAGTTCATATATGGAAACTAAGCTGCTAAAACATCCTGTTTTAAATCTGTAGTTTTTGTGATGTCACAATTTGGCTTGCAGCAGTTTAGCTCTGCTCATTCATGCTAAAGGAGTGTTTTAGCCTGGGTTACTTTTTAAATAATGCATAACACAGGGCAGCCAATTAGAACAGAGGTCATTTGCATATATCAGTCATAAAGGCGCAGTAGCAAAAACAGCCTGTTTTGACCAGCCTGTTTGGGATAAAGGGAGATCAGAAAATGGTCATGCTAAAAATAAATTACGTTTTTGGTACATAAAGCCACACATATGTTTTAAGCAGTCTTGAAGGAGATAAATTAAAGATATAAGAAGAATGTAGGATATGGGCCCTTGATACACCACTGAAAACTGAAATAATAAAAAAAACTGAATATCAACAAAAACTAATGAATATTTCAAAACTATTAGAGGCCTAACTCTGGTCTGATCTAATGAAGTCTTTGGTCAGACTCACTAATGGAGTTTGTATATACTGAACGAATGCAACTCTGATGATCCACGACCTCCTGTTAGTTTAAAGCAAAGCTTCACTTCATTTAAACAGACAAAACAGAGACTTTGTATTGAGTGGATTTGTGATTTAATGCCAAAAGAGTTTAAGGAAGAAACACATTTCATTTTCAGTATTACATTCTTTCCATGCTGTGTTTATTGCATATCAGGCCAAACAGCCTCGACCATGGAATGTCTCTTATAATCGTGGCAGGAGACAAAGGAAGCGTTTGGGACAGTGCACGTGGGCCGACTACACGTAGGCTCAGAAGGGTTTTTTGGACACCTTCATGCATTCTTACACAGGAACAAAGGGAACTGAATGAAGCATTACATAAAAGAGAACATGTTGCTTTCTAGGGTCGTATGGCTGCTAGTGGTCTTTACTGGAATGTCACCAAACCACTGCTTCAGAAAACTGGACTGAAGTAGAGATTACACAAGAGAAAAACCTCTACACTTTGGTCAGCTTAAAAGAATACATCCTCACATCTTCCTATACTGTATAATAAATAAAAATAAATCCCAATTGGCTATACACACATATAGTAACAGAAAGTGACAATAAAAAGCACCTTTTCTTAACAAGTCTTAAATAAAATAAATGCACTACAAAAACTGCATACGCTATTGTGATATGCAAAATATTCCAACATTTATAAAGAAAAACAAAGCCAGTGAAAAATATACTTTGCCATCATTTTAGCGAGCTTTTGCTGCTTGCACAAAAGCAAGAAATCAAATTTATCTCAAAACAGATACAGTACATTTGCTAAGACACATTATTCCAACATCCAAAGGGAATATTTCAAGTTTTATGTTGAAAACACTTTAAAGCAGGGGATGTCAGAAAGTATCAACTTACAAAATGTGCTTCAAATACAAAAAAAATATATGAAGATGGACAAAAATGGTCATAACGTCCAGTAATTCTAGTTCCTGTGAAAATAAGAAAAGTGAAAAATTAGATTAAATTCTTAAGACATGTTGCATTACGTACTGTGCAAAAGCCAGAGACCACCCTTCATTTATTAAATTATTCTTTTTTCAACAGCAAGAAAAAAACAGAAAACAGAAAATGACTCAGAGGCCTCGACAACCAAGGCCCAATCCCATTTCACCCATCGCCCCTACCACTTAGCCCTACCCCTCAATTTTATGCATTTAGGCATTTAATATTGTCATTATATGCCGTTACCTGTGCCTCCTTGTACAGTCATTATTGCACCGCCACTTTCATCTCAGGTTATAGATATTATTCCTGATTGTTGTATTTTTCTATTATATTATATATTTATTCTTCCTGTTATATTGTTTACACCCTTATTACTATTACTGTCCTGTGTTGTGTGACTGCTACTGTCTGCTAAATTTAAAGTATCTATCTATCTATCTATCTATCTATCTATCTATCTATCTAAGGGTAGGCTGTGCCAATTTTTGTTGAGATGGGGGGGGTAAGGTGAAGTGTTAGGGCTACACGGCCCTCCAAACATAGGTTTTTCAGAGGTATTTAGTGTGTCCACCTTTTATCTCTATTACAGCTTCCATTCTTTTTTCTTTGCTTTCAGTTTTTCAAAGAAATCTGCAGGGATATTTTTCCACACCTCCAAAGTTCAGTCTTAGAAGTTCATTACATTTTATGCTTCTCACAATCCAAGTTATCACAAACACATTCAGTGATGTTGAGGTCTGGACTCTGGTAGTGATTAGTCCATTGTTCTGAGAACACCAGCAGCTTCTGTGTTGCAAATTTTCATGTTTTTTGTTTATTTTCTTTTCTCATTAATGACTTCTTGGCAGCTACACATCTTTTGAGATCTATATCACTGAGTTTCTTATGCAAGTGGATTATCTTTTTATCTAATCTGCTCATAAATATCTCTTGAAAAATGAACAACTTGTACTTAATGGCTACTTTGACTGGAAATAAAGTTGATTAAACTAAAAAAAAATACAAAAAAATGTAGGATATGGGCACCACTGAATGCACCACTGAAAAACTGAACAACATCAAAAACTAATGAAAATTTCAAAACTATTATAGACCTAAATCAGGTCTGGTCTAATGGCGTCTTTGGTCAGACTCTGTTAGATCACTAATAGGGCTTGTGTATACTGAACTAATGCAACACTAATGATCGTCTTCTTGACTGCTACACATCTTTTCAGACCCTGTTGAGTGCAATTGGATGCAAGCGGCTTATCATCTATCTAACCTCCTCAGAAATATCTCCTGAAAAATTAACAACTTGTCCTTAATGGCCACTTTGGCTGGAAATACATTTGATTAAATGAAGGGGGGTCTCTAACTTTTGAACAGTATTATAGTCACTGGCCACCTTTCCCTTTTCTTGTAGCTCCACCTTGCTGGTGTACAGTTAGAGACTGTAACCCATCTGCTGATGCACAGTTTGTGTTAGTCATCTTCTAGCCCTTCATCGATGGCCAGTTTTTAACCACATAGTTCTGGGTGGTTGACCACTCTCAACCCAGCCGTGACAATGATGTATTTAAAAAAACCGCAGCACCGCTGTGTGTGACACACTCATACTAGCACCACACACACTACCATGTCAGTGTCACTGTACTGAGAGTGATCCACCCCCAAGTAATATCTGCTTAACAGTGGACCTGTGGTCAGAAACTGACCAATGATGAATCAGATGGGCTACAGTCTAGACCTCTGAAATTGTGTCATCATATGGGTGTCAACCTCATATTAGGAAGAAAGCTGGTTCTCTCTCTGACTAAAATGAAAGGCATTTTAGAAAATCTTAGTTACACTGCGTTAAACAAAAATGTTTCGAAGCCGATATGTTTTGCCGAACATTTTTCCTCGGACGCTACCAGATCCCCTGAATTACCAGGTTGTTAAGGAGCTGAAATATGACAATACATGCAAGTCAACACTGCTGTGCACTGAACTGGCATCATAACACTGGCAACTGTACACAAACCAGCAAGTTGTATCAAAGTTTTTGTTAAAGTTTAATAGTATACTTACTTTTTCTCAGGCAATGTAATTTCAGTGCACAGGAGCATTAGCTTGCTCGTATCATGTATGTAGTATTACTCGCATTTTGACTGCTAAACAACCTCCTGATTCAGAGGATCCAGTGACAGACAGGGGAGAATGTACACAGGACATGTTCTTGTGTGACTGCAATCCAGGAGTGAGCTAAATAAGTTACCCAACTCAAATGTTACTTTAGTGAACCCAGTTAAATTACATAGGGACAAAACTGATGAAACATTTTAAGCAATAAAAACACTGTTTTCACCTGGTTATCCTGCAGTTTCTGGTCTGGACGTGATGGCCGCTGTAGAAGACCTCACAGCGCACCACGTTGTTGGAGAAATCCGACTCAGGAACCAGGAAATTTGGGTTAACTGAAACCTACAAGTGTGCCAAAGGAAGCCATAATCATATTTCTGTTAAACAGGCTGCCTCTCCATTAGCTATTCTTTAAGCGCCACTGTTATTATGAGTCTATATATTACCGTATTACTGATATATTTTAATTAGAAACAATGCTGTTCAAAAAGCAATTACTGGTCACTTTCCTGTATTTAATATATTTTGTCGCTCTCCAAAAAAAACATGTATCTCCATTTGTTTTGATTTTTATTTTATCTACATCATTTGAGCAGAGCAGCTGTCCTTGATATTCATTTCATGATGTGTGGCACAAGAAATGAAATAAAAAACAGAAATGCTCCAAAGTTGCTTGTAATAAAATCTCTTTACATTAACTTACACCACACATTGGTGGACGGTTCTATTGGTTTTATTTCACTGAAAACACTGATTCTAAGCTTTTATAGTGATTCCAAAATGAAAAAAAAATCTAAAAATGTTTAACTTTCTCACCTTAAGTATGTAGTTCCCGGGTGGGACATCTGTGATGTCGATCCACTGGCAGTCGATGTTGGCAGCGTAGGTGTCATGGCAACCAGGGCTCAACCCCTACAGCACATAACAGAACTGATCATTCCACAGATTATCATCATGTTCAGCAACAACAACATCAGTATCAACAGTACATCTCAGCCTTATTCTTACTTAGCATATTTTTAGTAATTTTACTTATTTAATTACATAAAAACAAATTATAATACATTATTTCTATTGAATAACTTCTTGTGTGATGTAAGTGATTCCAAACTTTTGCTGAGTATTGTGCCTGTGTGTCTGTGTTTACTGTGCCTATGCACTGTCCGTGTTTGTACCTGTGTGTGTGCAGTGCAGGCGTAGCGTCTGCGGAAGCCTGGATCACAGCCAGTGTCCTCCAGACAGAAACTGGCTTTATGGCCCTCTGCCACCTTACGTCCAGTGGTTACGTCCAACAGGTCATAGTGGCTGAAGGCATCCATGCTGTGGTAATGCCTATAGAATGAGAGAGAGAGAGAGAGAGAGAGAGAGAGAGAGAGAGAGAGAGAGAGAGAAGGACAAAGAGGAAGAGAAACAGACAGATGGAAAGAGAAAAAGAACAGAAAGGGAAGGAGAAAAAAGGAAAGCATGCAAAAAGAAAAAATACGAGACAGAGAGAAAGAGATAAAAGGGCATACAAAGAGAACAGAAAAGGAGAGAGAGATCAGAAAGAATGAGAGAGAACGAGAAAAAGAGAAAGCAGAAAGAAAGAGAAAGGGAGAAAGGGAGAGAAAGAGAGAGAGAGCAGAAATAGAGGAGAGAGAGAGCAGAGAGAGAAGGAGAGAGAGATACAGAGAGAAAGAGAGCAGAGAAAGCAGAAATAGAGGAGAGAGTGCAGAGAGAAAGATGGAGAGAGAGACAGACAGAGCAGAGAGCAGGGAGAGAGAAAGAGAAAGAGCAGAGAGAGAGAGAGATACAGAGAGAGAGCAGAGAAAGAAGAGAGAGACAGAGAGCCCAGAGAGAGACAGAGTAAGCAGAGAGAGGAGAGAGATGAAAAAACAGCAGAGACAGAGAAGGAGAGAGAGAGATACAGAGAGAGCAGAGAGAGTAGAGAGAGAGGCAGAGAGAGACAGACAGATCAGAGGGCAGGGAGAAAGATAAGGAAAGAGAGAGAGAGAGAGCAGAGAGGGAGATAGAGAGGGAAAGAGAGAAGGAGTGAGAGCAGAGAGAGAGAGAGAAAAACAGAGAAAGAGCAGAGAAAGAGGGAGAGAGAAGGGTGGAGAATGGAGAGAGACAGTAGGAAACAGAAGTATTCTTGATATTTCCACTTAGACAGCAAATATTTACATACCAGTATTGAATTAATACTGACCATATGTTTTGTTCAGCAGGGCTTAAATAAATGCTCTGTTTTAACACTGTAGATTGTTCATTTAATTTTGCTGGTTTTCACTGGCCTAACCATGCTCCACCCACAAATGCAGTCTTTCATAGCAACTGTTGCGTGATTGGACAGAAAGTTTACAGAACACTTGTGAACATTATTCGAAGTTAGTAACACACTCCAAAGTTAGGCGTCTTGGCAAAAACTCGTGCGCACTTTCTTGCAATCATGGTTGCTACAACAGATTTAGCAACAAAATAATACACTTGCGGGCAGAGCATGGACAGGTCACTTTTGGAGTTAAATGGGTTTTTGCTGCACTCGCAGATGTCAGTCTAACACAGCTGCACATAAAAGTCCACTCAGTGCACTGATGTGTCTGATTCTGCAGTCTTTCAGAACCAGTAGAGCGAAAGCTTTGCTACAGTTGAACAAGCAGCACTTGTTACAGCTGAATACTCACTGATGACAGCTGTGCCATTCCCACTGGTGTCTGGGTTTGAGGGGCAGGAAGTCCGTGGTGCCGAGGTTTCGGACCTTCTGCGGGAAGCGTAGGAGAACCCTGTAGTCAATGTCCCTTACTGTAGGTCTATATGCTGACCTTAGAAAGAACACACAACACCACTAAAGGATGGATGGACAGGTGGAGGCAGAGCTGAATGGACAGACAATGGATCTTGATGTTCTTGCTCAACTAAAATAGAGTAATCTATGCATAAGTGTTCATTTCCATCGGATACTTATTTATTTGATATTGTCATATAGTAGCCTCAGCATTGTTTAATGGCCAGAAAGTGAAAATAAAAGTGAAATGTTAGTTATACGTGGCACTATATAGTGTTATAAAACAGTACATAAGGTTTCATGGGACTGGTAGTGAGGTATTACACGGCAGGTGTTGTGAATCATTCATAAATCCATTTATTCAAATTGCACTACTTTCTTTTGCTCATTTAGAAGGAATCCACCAATGAGTGTAATGGATGCGTTATAAATATGTTTTGAGCTGCGTTACCATGGCGATATGGTGCGTAAAGAGCCTTTATGTATTGCGTTATGAGTGCATAATGGATGCGTTATAAGTGCGCCTTGAGCTGTGTTACCAGAGTAATATGGTGCGTAAACAGCGTGTTCTTTGTTGTGCTATGAGTGCGTAATGGATACATTATAATAAGTACGTTTTGCGCTGCGCTACCAGGACGTTATGGCGCGTAAAGAGCGTGTATTTCTTGCGTTATAAATGAGTTTTGAGCTGCGTTATAAATGCGTTTTGGGCTGCGTTACCAGGGCGATATGGTGCGTAAAGAGCGCGTTATGTGTCGCGTTATGAGTGCGTGATGTTATTTGTTGCGTTATGAATGAGCTTTGAGCTGCGTTACCAGGGCGACATTGTGCAACAGCGCGTTTTGTGTCGCGTTATGAGTGCGTAATGGATGCGTTCGTTATATGCACTTTTTGAGCTGCGATATCAGAGCGTTACGGTGCGTAAGAAGAGCGGTAAGTGTTACGTTATGAGTGATGAGCACGTTACGAGCTGCGTAATGTGTGCTGGGAGCTGCGTTACAAGTTGTGAGTTCTTACCGCGCGAGGCAGTTCTCCTCCGCCGCGCACCGGAGCGCGTACATCTGCATGCGCTGCACGTAGGATCCCGCCTGAATGGAGTACGGGTCCGGCACGAGGTCCGGCAGGCCTGCAGACAGGGACACACGGGGACGGACACGTCAGTGCACGCGCCTAAATAAACTCTACCTGTCCTTGTTGATGCCATCCGGAGGTGCAGTTCTCACCGTGGTGGAAGTATCTGGTGCCGTAGCCGGTTCCGGGAGGAGGACGGCGTGCGCGCGGGACGCCGCGTGGCAGAGGGGGTGGCGGATACGCGTTGTAGAGCACCGCGTTCCTATGTGTCTTCAGCGGGTTCCGGGGGTCGTCGCTCACCATGTCGTCGCGTGCCACGCTATCCTCGTCATTCCTCGTTGTCTCGGCGGTTATCGCAAGCGCCTGCTGCCTCCCGGGGTCGTCGTCCTCGCGAACTGCGCTCGTACTCGCGCTCGCTCTCCCCGTCACGCCTCCGACGCCAGAATCCTCTGCTGTGAGGCCGGGGCTCGAGCCATTTGACCTGCGCACGCCCGGCGCACCGGCACTCTCGGGCCCTCGCCTCAGAGGCGCCGCTGGTCCATAGCGCCGTCCGTGCGTCCCCGAGGTCACTTCCTGCACCGCCGAACCGGAGCCGGACGAGAAGTGGCGCGCGGTTTCGCTGCGGCTGCTCACGTACATCCGCGACTCGGTGCGCGAGCGCGTGGGCGCGTGGTATTCGGAGCCTGTGCTCAGCAAGCTGTACACCTGCCCGTTGTTCTCCCATTGGACCCTGTGCGTCCAGGGACCACCGAGCCGCTCGCGCGCCTGCTGGCCGATGACGAAACGCACGAGACCGTGAAGGGCAGAGAAGAGCAGCAGGACTGCGAGATTGGCCATTTTAGCACCAGAAATGATAAAAATAACAAATGGAAAGTTTTTCTCTGTAATGAAGGCAGAGCAGATGTGCGACCCCTCTGCGCTCTCTCGGTGTCTCTGGAGCGCGTCAGCGGCATGAACTGACTTTCCTCACGGTAACTTGAAAGAGAGAGGAGGAGGAAGAGAAGGAGGAGGGGGCTGCGGCTCACTTATCAAAACGTGCGAGTTTACACACACGCATGCACACCAGCTTCATTTCAGCATACTGTATTTATGTTTATATTTATTCCAATGATATACAGTGTATACACACACTTACTGTCGAGATGAATAGTTGTAAGCTGCTGTCATCACTGCTGAAGGGTGAATTCCAAAATTTTCTGCATAATTTTCCAAATGTCTGCATAATGAAATGGTTAAAGTGTAGACGAAGTCATTCAGAGTGGTGTGACTGAAATGCTCAGTTAAAGAGAAATGCAGCAGGTCACAGTCTTTCACAGAGGTGGTGATGGGAACCAGACGTCTGAAGAGTTTAATGCCTTTTGAAGCTACATGAAATGTCTATGTTGTCTGAGACATTTTTTACAACAGTTTTCAGAGTTTTACCCTAAAATCATACATCATCTAAACCGCTTATCCTTATGGGTCGCGGGGGGGTGCTGGAGCCTATCCCAGCTGTCATTGGGCGGAAGGCAGGATACACCCTGGACAGGTCGCCAGTCTATCGCAGGGCAGACAGACAGACATACACATTCACTCACACACACATTCACACCTAGGGGCAATTTAGCACGTCCAATTGGCCTGACTGCATGTCTTTGGACTGTGGGAGGAAACCGGAGTACCCGGAGGAAACCCACGCAGACATGGGGAGAACATGCAAACTCCACACAGAAATGACCCTGGTCGCCCGACTGGGAATCGAACCCAGGCCATTCTCGCTGTGAGGCAACAGCGCTACCCACTGCGCCACCGTGCCGCCCGTTTTACCCTAAAATGTATTTTGAAAATCCATTCATGGTGGAGAAGTACAGTCTTAAAAAAGATGGTTCCTCACGTGTTCTTTAGTGAAGAAAATAGTTTTATATAGAACCATTAACACTCAAAGAACCCTCTGCGTGATCAAAGGGTTCTTTGCATGGTGAAAGTGTTCTTCAGATTGATGGAGAATATACTGGTTCTATATAGCACCAAAAAGACCATAGAACCTTTTTTGGTGCTGTAAGAACCAAACCCCATAACACAGGACCACTTTCGCAGCCCTTGGCCTGATTGTAGAGCCGGTGTCAATTCAAGCCTTTAACTCCTCGCCATCCATCTGGCATGGCACCATAGGCTGCTGGATGTGCTTCAGTTGCCTGACTAATTTGTAGGGGGGGGGGCGTTGTCTCCCTGGCGGCCGTTCCCTCCTCTGCACCTGCTTGCTGCCATCTTCCCGAGGCCTGTTTGCCTGCTGACCGCCACCTCTGTGGGCACTGAGCCTTCAGGTGCCCCAGCTGCTTACAGATATGGCATGGAAACTGTCATGGGAGTTTTACACTTTTGTCATAGAAGTTCACAGGGAAGCTCTGAAGCTCTGAAGACAACATTTTTTTGCACTTATATTCAGGAAAGCTCTCCTTCCTCTACAGGGCTTGGATTGGATAGTAGGATCCTGAATCCAGGATCAAGGATTGGCTAGTGACATCCACTCGTGTAGTGACAGAGTGGTAGGTTTACACTAGATAATGCTCTAATTAGAATGGACTACCATGTGTATTATGATAAAGAACACACAGAAACCAATCGGAACACAGCCAATATGCTAATAATCCAACTGATACCGATGTTTGAACACATGTTCAGTATGTGATAATGTCTTAGTAGAGGCTAAACAATATAAACGAAAACGCGTATTTACTTTGCTCTGCTTTAAGCTTTAGCTATAGCCGCTTTCCTCCCATCTCCGCCAGAAAACTTTTCCTCAGAAGTAGAACAGTTTCTTGTAAAATGTCTCTCAACGACTGTTGTACGAGGCTGAAGTCGCTTCTTATTCTCCAGCTTCTTGTTCGAATTTACCCGTTCCACCTTAAATTCTAACTGAGGCGCCGAATGTAAATGCGGCACCATTTAAGGTGGAACGGGAGAATTCCACCTTAGAGAAGAGAAGCAACTTCAGCTCTGCCACTTTTTAGTGTTTGACAGTCTCTCGTTGCAGATTAAACTTACCAGGAAACCAACTGCGCTGCTTATAAATGCGAATAACGCATCGTTGCTAGGTGACCTGCAGTCTGCACGCCGGTTCTCAGTCGTTGCGAAACAGGGCTTTCGCGCTATGTTGTATCTGTACAACGAGACCAAAACCGAAGTTATAAAATCACTAAAGAAAACGGGTAGAATAGCTGTAACGTGCTGCGTGGTCATCCACTACCACTGGATCTTATTTCACCGTAACTGCGCATTTTATCGCAGATGAGTAGCAGCAGCTTCTCATGCTCCAAACAAGAGCAGTCAGTGAGAGCCTTCTAGTTCACTTGCCACATCACTTCCATTTGTTTTATTAAAAAAGATATTGGAAGTAAATTCATTATGGATCATTACAAATACTTTGCTTTAAAAGTACCAAGTGACTTTAAATAACAATAACACCGAGTCACTTAGTCACTTTAAAATGTGTATTGTCTCTATATTCTGTGTATATTTTGTGTATATTTAATATATTTCAGTTGGTTTTTCTTGAATTTTTATTTTTACTTATTTACTTTCTGTAGAGTGATTATCTGAGCCTCACCACAAGCATTTCAATGCATAAATGTCGACATGTTGTGCAAATGACAAATAAACTTGAAACTTGAAAAAGATGCATTGAGCTGCATCGATAATCGTTTTATAATCACATCGCAGCCCTCTGAATCGTAATCGAATCGAATCGTGAGGTGCCTAAAGATTCCCACCCCTAATACATATATATATATATATATATATATATATATATATATATATATATATATATATAAACACATTATTACATGTTTGAAATGTATTTTAACAGTGCAATTGAGTTTTGTAACAATTTAAATAGCTTTTTTATTTATATTAAGTAAAATGCCTTACTTACAATTTTGAGGTTTATTGGAAATTATTTGACTTTAATACATAACTCTTAAAAGTATGGAAAACCAATTAAATAAATAAAAAAAACAGGTTAAAGAATCACAAGATGCAACAATTCAAGATAAAAACTGATAATCAACATGAAGTCAGTATCAGGACTACAGTGTAAACAGGAAATACACTGAGGGACAGCTACACATTCGCCCACAAGGTGGCGCTGCAAGGCAAGTAATTGAAGTAACAGTACTTGAGGTTTGAGCTGGTATTAGTGCCACTGATTCAGCGATATGTTCATTAACACACTGTTAACTACAGCCCAGCTGATTTCAGAACAGCACCTATGAAGAAGCTACCCAGTAAACAATTGAACTCTGAATGAAGGGAACATGGAAACTTATTAGATATGCAGGCAGGAAGGTTAAATACTCCACCTGTCAGGAACTTATAAGTAGAATAAAGTATTTCTAGGGTTTATTATAAGGCAAATGTAAAATCCACAGATTTTCTAAAGTTAATTAAATGTTTAAAATGTAAAATATAAACAAAGGCAACATATTCATAACCATTTCATGTAATAACTTTATGAGAGCTTTTAGAGGCATTAAACTCTTCAGACCTCTGGTTCCCATCACCACCACTGGGAACAATTCTGACAAAAGTTTCTCTAAAATGGAGTATCGAATGACTCCAAAACGTTTACTTATGCTGAAATTTAAAAAAAAAAACCTTTAATGCCTCAAAAAAATGACCTCACCGTAAGTTATACATAGAATGGTTATAGTACACTCAAACACTGCTTCACGATAGTTTTGAAATAAGGTTTGAGCCTAAAACGTATTACTTTTTAAAGTCTAATCATGGCGAGGAGACACAAGTTGGGCGCTGTAAGACGCCCAACTTGTGAAAAAATAGTCCCCCCACACTTTTTTTTCGGATGTACAACTATTTTATCATTACCAACAATACACATAAAAACTCAGTAGATGTGTAGACTTACCAGTCATTTTGAATAGTACATAAAATGGCCATATTTGTGTTCGTGACCCCTGGTTCCTACCACCACCACTGTAAAGATATTAGAGTTTCTCTACAATAAACCATTTCACATCAAACCACTCTGAATGGCCCTGTTTACATCTTAATGATTAAATTATACAGAACTTTTGGGTCACACTTTATTTGGATGGTCCGCTATAGGATGATCTACAGATACTTATATTATTAACAACCTTTCTGATGATACTTTGACTTGAAAGTTGTGTGTAAAAGGAACTTTGACTTGAACTAGGCCTACGAAACGCTTTCGAAGCTGCTGGTTTAGAGGAAAACCCCTGCAGGAGTGACCTCTGTGTGTCCAGGCCGCAGAGCATGTGTCACATGTGCTTCAAAATACCTCAAGTGTCCTTATAAGCCAGGAATATCACCAGCCAAGTGGTGGAGGGGCTGTTCAGGGGGGGATGACTGGGTTACACTTGCAAGCCAAATAGGGCAAGAACTCAGCGAGCATGTGGTGTGTAAGATGAAGCTACAAGGTGATCCTTTCCCAGAATAAACCCAAGAGCGCCTCCTCCGTTTGGCGGTATAAGAGCGGCGAGTCCGTGGGAACCGTTTGGCTCAAGACACCTTCGCCAGGACAATAACATACAGTTTAGGCGCCAGTAAGTATAAAACATTACATTGAGTGTTTGATTGTGCATCTGAAAGGTGAAAATAAGAGTAAAAGCAAATCACAAGCAAAGGTGTTGCTGCCTCGACGTTTGTAGTAATAAAAAAAAGTTTGTAAAGTTGTTGGAAATAAAAAGTGATCACAGTGTCTTGACCGCGTTGGTCCATGTTGTGCTCCTAAACCACTTTTGCTGTTAAATAAAAGTTGTTACAATAAAAAAAGAAAATGTTCCCCGTTTGCTGCTCCCGACCTCGAGCTAACGTTTCTACACTTTGGAATTATTTCATTTTATGAATAGGTATCCTGAGCTGCACTGATCTTTGCCTCTTGGGCGATTTAAACGAAGATGGTCTTTATCGGTTTGAGCCCAAGATATCCCAAAAGGAATATACCTCGCCCTCTTTTGTCTTTACACCCGAAGCCACGTAGAGAGAAACACTATCCTTCAAGGAGTTTCCATCTAAATGGTAGCGACCTAAGGGGCTGAAGGTCACCTTTGCTTTCCTTCTGATCATGTGGGGGACCGTTATGTCAGGTGAGAAAAATGCTGTAATGTTCCTCAAAGGACCTGCTCTTCTTTGGCATTCAGCATCGTGGGGAAAGTTCTAAAGGCGGGATTTTTCCTTTTCACACCCGTTTTCAGAAAAGCCCGCCCTCCTGCACTTGGATTGGATAATGGGATTTGGCCCCCGGAGCTAGTATTGGCTGGAAATGCTCACTTCCTGGACTGGGATTGGCTACTCTTAAGCAGTCCACAAACGGACCAATCGTTTCACAGGGGGGCGGGGTTTTCCGGAATATGGGTGGGGAAAAAACAGCGCGTTTAAGCGTCGTGCGTTCTGAACAATTCACCGTGAAGCAGGTTTGAACTGTTTTGAAGAGTGTGTGACTGTTTGCTAGTGATAATAATATGTTACCTTTGCTGGTTATTAGCCTAGCCGATTTACTAATAACATCGCGAGAGGATAGCGTATTGTATGACTGCGCGCGAATGTGATAGTTTAAAGTCGAGTCACGTGCTCTCACTACCATAATATCATCGATTGTCAGATTTTGTGTTTGCGTTTGCTCGTTGAGGGGCGAGATGTGCACGTGACCTTGTCCACTCGTGTTCCCGAATAATTAACTGGAACGTGTGACTCAAATTCCGTAGGAAGTGCTGAAACAGGTCACAAGAGGACTTTTAATCTGTTTCGTGTTACCTTGAAATGTCAGTGCCCATCTCTCTCTCTCTCTCTCTCTCTCTCTCTCTCTCTCTTTTTATATACATTTATACAAGCTCAACATTCACATATTAAACTGAGGAAAAAATATAAGACAAAACATTGGGATTTAAATAAGCTGAAAAGCTTTAACACAGCAATGGATTTACAAAATCACTAAATCACTAAATCACTAATCACTAAATTCACTAATGTTAGATAATCACATTATGTCACATATATATGTACAAAGGTCATAGGCGAAGGTATTTATCTGGTAAATTTCATCTTAAATATTTTATAGCTATAATTATGATCATTTTTATTATAAAGCACTCATCAGGGTTAATAAAGGGTGATCAAAAAGTCATAAAACAGTGGCTTTTAAGGGAATTTTTTACCGGTCTTTCTTTAGATCCAGAGATCAACCTAAAGCAAGTAGGAAAACAAGTGTTCAGTGGATTCTGTGGCCCCTTTGTTGAGCTGCCCACTGAAAGGTTACTAATGAAATGGATTTATGACATATTAGACATATTATGACATATCACATTTCTTATCTACTATAGTCAGTGCACATCTCTCTGACTCTCCCAAACAGTGGTTACACATGGCATCTACTGTAGATTAGATCAGCATTTCACCATAATTACTGTAAAAGCTGGATCATCTTCAGTTTTAGCATATGTGGATGTTAGCACACTACAGAGAAAGCTCAAAGTCACTCTTGTGTATTTCATAACTACCACTGAGGCATATATTTCTGGTGATCTGTTGGCAATGTTTTCATTTCAGTTGGCTTTACTGGCAAGACTGCTTTACCAAAGCAAATGCAAGGCCTGATTAAAATAATACATGCTGTCACAAAAGGGGTGGCTAAGAAAATAAGCTACTGGGCTTGGTTAATAAAATTAATTACATTACACAAAGCATGTCCAGATTATTGCTGTTAAAACCTGGTCAAGACTGTACATGCCCACTATGCAATACTATTATTAGCCTAAAAATTGTTTAAATGGGCCAGGGCCCATGTTGGGTCTCTGAAAAAGAAACAGTCATGCGACAAATGCAGGAAATGTCCCCTCACACATTTTCAGCTGCGCATACAGCTCCTGCTGTTGTCCATCTATGCCAGTTATGAGGGTTTGTGACAAGTCTTCAGCTCATACCAAGATCCCCCTATGCGACAGGTTCTGAGAAGCCAAGTAGAGATGGCAAACTAGTAGTGTTTGTTCCTTCTGAACGGAACTGTCATGGGTGTGGAAATCATTTATCATATGAGACCTGTGAATGGGGCCCACAAGGGTGAGGAGAAGGCAGCGTCCCCGAGCTCAAACCAGTTATCACCAGACTTGGCAATATGACAATAGTTATCATTATCGTGATGAATTATTTGACAGTATGTCACAATATGCTTTGCTTAATTGTGGATATTGTCAATAAAAATCAATAAAAAAAGGGCATCATTAGTCCTGTTTAATGGGATTTAGTGCAGCAGAGTGTGTGAAATGTTGAATACAACTAACTGGATTACCACTCATCTCTAATCATACAGTCCACATTTTTGCTCAATTCTAACTTCAACACATAAGGATAAAGTAAACATGTGGGCCTTCTGGGTTCCTGATAGTCAGTTTGAGAACCACTGACTGCCATCCACTTTATCACTCTAGTGCTGAGTCCATGGCTCTGATTGTACCCATAGGAAAGAACAGTTTCCCAAATGATTCAATGTATTCCAACATCAAAAATTACAAGTTAAAACAGATAAAAAAGATTATTTAACAATTAATTTGTCCTCTACTATTTTAGATGATATTGACCTTTTATCACTAAAGTGCTTTATCACTTTAGAGAAACTGAAACACAGGGCGAAACATTATCTACACTCTTAAAAATAAAGGTGCCAAAAAGGCTCTTGGGAGTCTAAGTTCAAGAACTGGTTCCGGACAGTTCTTGAACCCCTTACCAAGCCATAGGTTTGCCAGCGGGCCCAAGGTTTTATTACATCCTTCTATAATCTAAGAAAAGCTCCATTATTTTGCACTGAAGTCCCTGTAGTTAATGACTAATAAGCCTTAATATGTTATAAGCCTGGAATGTTAACAGTCCACATAATGTAAAGGTTCTCTACCAGTTAAAGTTGGTCAGAGCCAAGAACCTTTATATTTAAGAGTGCTCAGCTGCCAGCTCCCTTTTTCCACTCTGGCACATTGTAGTGAACTATGAAGCGGGCAAAAATGCCAGTCTGCTGCTCACCTTTCCCTGAGGCCCTAGCCAGGGGTGACGATGGGGGGTCTTGTGAGGGGGGTGGTGGGCAGCTATGTGTGAGAGGGCAAAGATATTTCGAGACCTCATTCCAACTCTCCTCCATTGACGCTGTTGGCCCTAAATATAAACTCCCTCACTGCCACCCACTCCCAAGGTAGGCACTCCAGCCCTTCTGACCATGCACTAAAAGATAAGACTCACCGTCTTATCTTCAGGGTTGGCACAGAACAGTTGGAGCAAAACTTTTCACTTTGAGCTCAAAGCTTGCTATTGCACATGTAATTGGGAAGCACAAGTTGTGTAATGAGTACAGGTTATGAAGCTGTATGCTTTCTGTATAAGAATGAATGAGACTTTGATTTGATTTAACCTGTAAGCCAACCAGTGTGCTAAGTGGTAAGATACATTCAGGATGTTTCACATTAGGAGTTAAGAACTGTACTATAGCTATGCAATACTATCTTTGTTTTCTTAATGGACTACCTATGACTTGTGTTTGTAACTTGGGAATTAGTCATAACCTGCTGCCCTGTATTAATGTACTCTACTGCAATGTTGTTTAGTTTCCACATCATTGCTAACCTCAAAGTCACTTGACATAATGGAAGCAAGGTCAAGGCTTCCTTAGTAAACAATAGTACTGCACGCTCTGAAGGCATGCCAACGGGAACACACTTCCTGAAGCATTTTTCTCACGTATTTCACGTTTGTTGTGCAGTTGAAAGGTCTTCTATGACCTACAGGTATCAAGATTGCACTCGCATTACTTGTTTTGAGAATTTATCAGCATTTAGTCTGTTATCATTAGGACAACTTTACATCACTCATACTTCAATGACCTCTTCAGATCTAATAGCAGTAAAATTGGCACTTAGCTTACGGCAGCATGCGTATATGTTGTTGTATCCCACCCAAAAAATTGGGGGTTATAACTTAAAAAGGTTAGTGTTTAGGCCACATTAAAATTTTGAATTATTTTAATGTCAAACAGTAAGGTAATAGGGCATAAAAAAAATTTTTCTTTTTCTGTTAACTTACTATTCAAAATTTAATACACTTTTAATTTTAAAGCAGCCTGAACAGTAACTTTAAGAAATTTGTTTTACAGTGAATTGTGTTCATTATGTCCAAATATTGACAATAAAAACATAACACAGAGTCAATTTAAATGTCTTTCAATGAGGATAAATCTTTCAGCACAATAACATAGTTGACAAAAAGTCAGTAGCCATCATGCTATACAGCCATCCAGCTCTACGCCACTTTTTATATAAAAGAAAAGCCACATACATATAAGGCGATATAAAATTCCAGGCTTTAGCCACTGGCTCAAAAATAAGTTATTTTTGTCATATTTACAAAATTGATTCCATGGCAGAAGGCGCTATCACTTAAATCTATTTACAGTTCTATACACAGACATCTTCAGGTGTTTCGGAGCCGCTGAAAAAGAAGAAAGAGAAAGTAAGTGTTAAAGAACTGATCCTAAAAATGGTCATAGAATAAATAAAGAATGAATCAGGAAGGAGAGCTTTACCTATAAGCTATTCAGCAGGGTGTTCTGGATGTCCTCATGAACCTGGTTGTAGATATCTTCTTTTGATTTCATTCCATCCAGATATTCTGCAAGCACAGAAATTAACACCAAAAAAGAAACATTAGCTTCTGGTGATTCTTCAAAACACTCATAAATCTTCTCATGAAATCCCACATATTTCTAAATGATTGGTAAGGGCCACTTACGGATAATTCTGCAGTTGTGCTCCATCTCTTTCCTGTGTTTCAAGTACATGGGCCACACATGGCCGTCAAACAGACCAGGAGGGTCAGGAACTGTGTAGGTTCTTGTGCTATGGGGATAAAACAGGGAGAAATGAGTAAGAGTACCAAACCCATTCCAATGGGTACAATCATGTCTGTGTGGAGAACTTTCATCTGTGGATACTGGATCTAGACTCTGTTAGCTTAATCTTGCATAAAATGATTCTCAGTAAAGAATCCCAGCACATAATTTAGTCCAGGGCTTAATCTATAACCAAATCACTGCAAATGAATACAAATTTTACCTTCTTCTTCTTTTACACTCCTCATATGGAATGGTGACATAGTAGCACTTGTCGAAGATCTCAATCAGAGGTCTGCCATTGAAATTAAAATTGAAATTTTGTGTTAAAGTAATTCTGGAGTTTGCCAAGTTTCATATCATGTTTGCTAAGATAAAACAAAGTGAAAAAATCCAAACCTACTGGTAATTATAGAGCAGAAATCCCTCGACAAGAAGTATATGGATTTGCTGCTCCGGTTCTGACCCATCAGCCAAGGGTGACAGGGTCACACCGTGAGAGCGAGCAAATTTCACCGGGTTCTCGATCCAGCCTTTGACGGTGTTGACCATGGCTTCCATGTCCAGAGCTGTGATCACTGCACAAGGGTAACAGAAAAAAAACAGGCCACATCTCACAAAACAGGATAATGGCGCTATGGATATAATGCAGTTTTTTCCTTCTCTATACTTTTTTCTTTTTTTCTTTTTTTTTTATAACAGACAATAGATGTTAATAATTAAATGTTATAAAGTTATAACATTTATTTATGGACAAATTAAATTACTATTTTTTTAGGTTTTAGGTGTCAAAATGGAAAAATGTAAAATTGCAAAGGCAAAATCGAAATGGTCATGGAAAGATGAGGAATACATTACTGTTGTTTTTTCCTACAGCCGAAAGCCACTCTTACCATCCCACTGTCTAAAGCCGTCCTCCCCGACCTCTATTTGATCTTGGGGCTGCAATAACAGTGACCAATAAAACATTGCTGCAGATTGCTCACGCAGTGCTGATCCCACCTGGACATATAATGCCAAGCCCTCAGACTAAAATATGGCGGTATGGAGGTCTTTCTTCATCGTCAATCAATCAGCCATAAGAGTTCAACTTTGATCAACTGAACCTTAGTTAGGCAATTAGGCCTCGAGGCGGCAAGTGAATTTACATGAGTGGAATGAGTTGGTATGCACATTTGCTTGTTCGCTTGGTTAGGACTGAAATGGTTTCAAGGTTACAAAATGGCATTTTAAACCATGGTTCAGTAACTCACTGATTGAGTGAATTAGGTCACTAATGACAGTGATCTGTTGGCTGGTGAGGTATGAATAAAGGACGTTGAGAGATCAGTAATGTGTATTTGGCTGTGCTGCTGGAGTGTGGATATTGGAACTGAGTAAAGTGGTAAATTAATGGATGGCCATGAGAAAACAATTAGTGAAATTATACTGAAGAAACACGCAAATGAATGTCAGCTACCTCTAAATCCCTGTTGCATCTGAGGTTAGTCAGAGGTAGCTAAAAACATTCATTTCATGTCTCTTTGAGGTTGGCTGTCCAGGAGAACATCAGCATAGGAGTGTAAGAACCACATGCCATGGACAACATGGACAACACACCCACAAACACAACACATTAAATCCTATACATCTGACTTTACCTGTATTATTGCCTTTAGAGTGCTGCTGCTACTCTATGTTCTATACCTAAACAGTACTATTACACTGTAGGTGGTTTACAGTCATGGTAGTCTTACTGTTAGCCTTAGCTGCTACAATATTAGCTTACAGAATCTTCAAAACCAAGCTAAGCTGACAGAATTTCTTTCCAGAATGGTCACATTCAGTGTCAAATCAATACAAAATAAAAGGTGGAGTATTTTAATACCTTGAAAAAGTCATCTTGATGTACCACACAACAATTTGGTAGTATCTTCTCAAGCCTTTTCGTCAAAGTGGTTTTCCCACCGTTGGTCACACTGCAAACAGTAACGTACATTAGACAACGTCATTCCACAGCCGTATCACGTCTTATTTCAGTAGTATGTCACTTTGTGTGAATGTATGCTGACTTACCCTCCGATTCCGATGATGAACTTCATTTTATCTTTCTTTCTTTTGGTCTAACGTCGGCACAAAAAATAATCAACTTACTCGCTAGTAAATGAAACGCTTGGGAATGCTTTTTCACGCCTTCTCCTCCTTTCCTCCTCCCTTTCTTCCCCTCCTCCTTACTATTTCATTGATGGACTTGACTTTCCTGAATTTATACTCGAGCCCTACGACGCGAAACAGTCACCGGTTCGCGCATGCGCAGCCCTCGCCAATGGGACTCCTCTCCCCAAAACCAATCATGGTCTGCTGCGCGTCAGCGTCGTCCAATCACATGGCTGAATGTGCACGAGGGCAGTATGGCCAGTTCTGCACCTGTCGTGCCTCGTCCGTCGCCACGTGTCTGGAGCTGTAAAGTGAGGTGGGGTGTGGGAGGGAGGGGGGCATGGTGGAGGGGTCATAATGATCACACAATGCTCTTAATACTCTTTAACAGTGGAAATATACGAAGTTTCGTGACATATCACGTAGCCTCGCAGCTTCTGACCTGTGTAAAGCGACTGTGGGAATAGATTTAAAAAAGGGGGAGGAAATGGACAGAAGAGGTGCTGTTGCAGTCTATAAATGATTCCATATCACTTTCCTAGTAATGACAGATTTATAATTATAATAGCCCCGACGTGGGCGTGTATGACCTATAAAGCCAAAGGCAAAGAAGGTCTGCTTCTTTTGAAGTGAAATGAGATTTAAATGATTATTTTTAAGGGCGAAATGGAAAGTTTTAAATAAGCGGTGCTATAGGGGGGTGGACCATGCTGATCGATGGAGCCCTAAAGGAAGCTTGTGACTCAGGGGTTTGTATAACATGACTCACACCAGGTAGAAAAGTGGAAATGTGTATGTGTGTGTGTGTCGGAAAAAAAGTATATTAGACAACTTTACATATATTCACGCATATCAATCATTACAATATATGCGTAAATGCAGCAATATATGGACGACGACTATTTAGAGTCATATATATATATATATATATATATATATATATATATATAGATAGATAGATAGATAGATAGATAGATAGATAGATAGTTGATATATTGCCAAATGGTAACTTTACAGGAGAAGGAAAAAACATCCTTAACTTTGAATGGAAGTCAATGGAATGATCATTTCTATTCCTTCATTCATTTTAACACAGTGTAAAGGTCCAACAATTAAAAGGAATTACATTAGTATAATCATATATTATTTTTAGTTTTTAGTATCATTTTAAGTTAGTATATATGTGTATGTACAGATATATGTATGTACACACATATCGCTGCTGTCAGAATAAAACCTCGGATCTCCATTTTTTTTTTGTTTTTCAGTTTTTGACATTATTTGAAAATGCTAGTTGCTCTTTACATTGAGTGTAAATTTCACGATGAATGAACTAAAAGAAACAGCCTGAAATTACTTGGAAAAAAGTCTAGTTCCATTGACTTACATTAAATATAGAGTATGTTGTTTCCTTCTCCTGTAAAGTTGTCATTTTGGAGATATGAGGGTTCTGACAACAGCGATGTGTATATACATATATATATATATATATGATTAAAACGCCTTTAGTGGCATTTTTGTACAGTTTAGTACAACTGCAAGGCAATTATATACAATTATGTATAAATGATTTATTATACATCTAAATTGCGTTTTTCAGCATAATGATATAATCAAAAACAGTTGATAAAAAGGCTTAGTGTCATTCAAAGCAGTTTGTACAGCTTTGTACATTTTTAGTGTACATTGTAAATAACTTATAAGAAAGAACTGTATAAATTGAATAAGAAACTACACTATTTCCATAGCACTGCACATTACTTCAGTAATAATGTATAACATTTACAGCTCTTTGTAAAATTCCTGTAGTACTATCTGATAATAATTATAATACTTGTATAGTATCCTGTGGTAAACTATAGTATGCTATAAGATTCTAATAAGACTCAGAAGTTCTCAGAAGACGCAGAAATTCTTATAGTATTTCTAAAAGCGCTTCTTCATTCATCCCAACTTTTGAATGTGTGGCTTTGTCATGCCCCCTTTTGTCAGTACCAGGCAAACTGTGGTAAAGTGGTGGAGTGTTGTATTTTCTGTTGTCATATAATAAGGTGGTTAAGAAATGTGTTTTCCTATTCTATAAAAGAACTGAAGGCTAATAATGTGTTTTTAAAAACCACACCACATAACAATAAACCACTAAGGAAGAACGCTAGCAACAATGATTAGATTACAAAGCCACGTGTTTAATGATAGGTTATGTGCTCCAAATTTGAAAATATCTCACCACAAGTAGCACAAAGCTCAGTTGTAATGGGGGCTTGACCAGATGCTTTTAGAGCTAGTCTGTAAAAGACTAGCTCCAAAAGCTGTAAAAGCTGTGCTTGGTTTTGGCGTGGGCCTCAGTCTGTCATGCCGCTCTTCTACATTGCGTCTGAATATCGCTTTACTCTGTCTGAGCTGGCGCTTCTGTCACTTCTCCAATGTACCACACGTAATAATTTAATCACGATATCAACAAACATAAAGTGTACTTCCCTCAGATTTGAAAGAACAGGCTTTACTTTTAGTCTCTATCATTAAGGGTCTTCTGCTGGTCATCTTTCAGTGTACTATAGGCATGGAAGCTGCTGTCTACAGGCCATACTGCATGGAAATGTTATAGCTGATATAATTTTAGTAATGTAGACCACTGTGAAAATGTATATCTGTCCATTCTATAAAAAGTCAGCTCAACACACATGGTACATATTTAACCCTTGAACTACAGCCGTAATATGCAGTTATTCATCTTAGCCTGTATTAATGAGTAGCAACTATGTATTATTCATAGTCTACTAAGAAATTAATATATAAGTTGTGTACTTATAATAAATGAGGAATTTAAGTGCAGGCCCCAAATACACACCCTTGCACGTTAACCACTTAAACCCTAGTTTTATCATTCACTTAGTAATCGTAAAGTGTCCATATCATGAATAATCAAATTATCCCTGCCTGTGCTGAAACAGAAGTTTGATATAGTATGAAAACATTATTAAAGTTTCTGAACGTACTATTCACTTCTCAGTCTATACATGGAAAAACAGCCTATTGAAACAGTTAGTGTTTTTGTGATGTCATAAAAACCTACAAACCCCCTAAGTTATAAGGAGTTTGACAAGCCTTAAAATTTGACAACTTAAAAATGAAAAAAAAATTATATTACAAGGTTTTGGTACAATAGTGATAACATGTATTGGTTAATCATGCACTTGCTTTGCTAATTGAAGCCTTTCTAATTCCTCAGCTTGCGTAGCTTGCACATCGAGGAGGAATTTTCACGAGCGAGGATTCAAACGTTCCATGCCTAGGCAGATCCCAGTGGACCAGGCCAAGCTCTATATTTGTCACCTTGTGTGTGTGTGTGTGTTTGTGTGAGAAAGGTGCCACTGCGTCACAGATGCTTCTGATGCAACCAACTGGAATACTAGCATTGCTTGCAGACATGTGATCTGTCCAGACTGGTCATGCTCAAGTCAGAAGAGACAGACGTTAGTTTCAAAGTGATGCCATTTTAACGAAGCTGAACCATTGTGTCTCTTGATCTTAATTAAATCTAACTATTTTTAAGGCCTTCTGGCTGACAGAAGAGCCATTAGCATTAGCACATAGCTTCCTTTGTGGCATAGCGATTGCAGCTGTTTATGACCCTTTATCTTCATTTGTAAACATCAGAGGGTTTATTAGCAGGGAAGGGTGACCTCTTGCCTGTGCTATGACAACTGAGGCTTTGATAATGCGCTCGCTTTCATTTATTGCAACAACTACATGTGCAGAATTTGTGGATATGAACAAGGGGGTCATATAAAGATATTATTATCTTAAACTTAAGAAACTGTTTCAGCCTCTTAAATGGCTAAGGCCTACCAGCATTTTATTACACACTTCAGTAACCTTAGAATAGCTCTATAAGTCCCTGTGCTTACTGAATATTATTTGTTATTTGTCATGTTATTCTGCATTCTGTTGTGAAGCACAGTAACCCTTAGCATGATAGGTCTCACAGAATTCATGATTTTATATTGTTTTCATTCATTAATGTTCTCTTACTGCAATGTACTACGCAAATGCATCATACAAGGCCATCGCTAGGCCAGTTTTAGAAGGGTAGATACTACCCCCCAATACTGTTTTACCCCCCCAATGAATAAACATTATTAGTTCAAATTATCAGCAGCATTTTACATTTATTCTTTGTTATTCAACTGTGCTATCATGCCTCCACATTCACAATATGCTGTGACAGCAGGGCGTGAACTGGTGGAGGCGCTGCTGCTGCAACAACCTACCACTGCCTCAGCGGTGCCACCAGAGATTATCTAACATAATAATGCCGGCTTAGCCAATCATATCAAACCTCGTAAGTTTTAAGCCAATCATATCAGACCTGGGGGAGGGTGTCTGGTTTTACTCGCTCTGCAATGTAACGTCAGCCGGCAAATGGTCGCGAAATGGATTTTAGCTTTGATTGACTCGATCTGTGATCTGTGTAGGTGGACAGATATTTGAGTCGTAAAAATCTGTGCCTAATATGCTATGGAGAAACAGCTCTTCAGTGTGGAAACTCATTTTTTGATAAATTTTCCGTTTATTGCTACTCTGAAGTTCAATGTTATGAACAGATATTTTTGGGCCATTAAAAATATCCTCCTGGAAGAACATGCCCCAGACCCCCTTAGTAAAGGCTTAGCCTCCCCCCTATCCATAAATCTATCCATAGTGACACTCCTGATGTCATACAAACATTGGGAATCCCTGTGGTGTCAACCAGTCCTGACTGCTAGCATAATCACAGATCTATAGGCTAGTAGCTAATATTGGTGTAACTCTTACCTTGATTACTGAACAAAATTGTAAAGAAAACAAAGATTCTCTCTTTATTTTAGCACAAAATGAACACCAGAGACAAGTTTTAACCAGAGAAAAAATCCAAACTGATGTAAAGTATCTAAATAGCCAGGTATAGCTACCTTGCTAACTTTAGCTTTCACCTTGTTGTTTTCCACATCTGAGTCATTTCTGTCACTTGAGCAATCAGTTCTCTTCACCACTGTAATGACGATTCATACAGCTACAAAAAGATACTTTGCCTCCTAGCAGTAATGTTAGCTGCCTTGCT